TCCTTCCGAGGTGGGTAAAATGAGGACCCAGATTGTTGGGGGCAATATGCTGACTCTCTGTAAACCGCTTAGAGAGGCCTGAAAGGCCTATGAAAAGGTATATAAGTCTACTGCTATTGCTATTGAAACCAACCACAATCAAATGGGCAGGATTTGACCTCTGATATCCTGTGCTCCTTTCCCTTGAGTGCATGCAACCATGCCCAGAGCCAGAGCTTAGCTTAAATGTATTGAAGTTATGAGAGAGAACATTTTACCACATCTTTGCTCTTGACTGGAAATATTATGAAGAAAAGCTTGGGTAGAATTTTCAAAATATGATTTCAGGTAGCAAAGGAGTATAGATTGCTCTTAGTAGCTACATGACTCAGTGAACATTAGCAGAAAGAGTGGGAGAAATAAGGTTGAGATTCTAATAATTGTAATATTATTCAGGGCCTAAAGCATTAGTACAAATCTTTAAAAAAAGCACAATTAATTGTATCAAACCGGAAGAGAGTTGTTTGGTGAAATGTAATCATACAAAACTACAAGCAATCAGAAATGACATACTAAGTCAACAGCACTTATATCTATTTCCTATATTTATTCAATACTCGCAATTAAATTAATTTCCATTGCTGTTAGGATTTAATTTATTTTACACACAGGAAAGAAAACTTCATGACAGGTGAGGAACTTTCTTAAGAAAAATAGCTTTGCCAAAATGCAGAAGGAAAAGGGCTTGGAAGAGACAAAGGAAAAAGCAAATTCAAGTCTTAATTGTTCAGTTTCAACGATCGAGATTGGTATTACCTTATGTATTTCAGTTAGAGACAGGTATGGTTTCTGTGGGTACCAGGTTCTATCTCCTTAATTTCTGGTTGAAATTGATTTTTTCTCCTGTGGGTCTGGCTCCACTGGTTCTCAGAGGCCATTATAAATCAACCAGTTAACAAAAGGTAATGGAAAACTTCAATCCTCACAACCGTCTTTTGGAAAAGCCTCTCTCCATTAGCGTTAGAAAATGCCAGGAGTCAATTTAAACAACATATCTAGTTTATTGATTTTTAAAAATTAGTTTAAGCTTGATAGCTAATCCTATTGTTCAGGGGTCGGCAACCTTAAACACTCAAAAAGCCACAAAGGTCCTAACCGGAAGCTCCCTGTTCAATTCTGGAGGCGACCAGAAATCTGGTTTCCCTACCATAGAGTCTCCTCCTAGCGGTGTGTCCCTTTTCCGCTACCTGTCCTAACCAAAAGCCATATCAATTGTGGAACTGACCAGAAAAACTGCCCCTTGCCATAGAATCTCCTCCTGGCACTCCCTGCTTCCTCCCCAACCAGAAGCTCCTCTCAAAATTGTGGTGCCGACGGGTGATAGGGACCTACAGCAGAGGGATGAAAGAGCCACATGCGGCTCCAGAGCAGGCTGCTGACCCCTACTATAGTTTGTGGATTCTCCCTAAAGAACATGGACCATTGTCTTACCTCTCTTCAATTGTAACTCTGAAATTTCAATGGGCTTTTGCCTTAACCAGACTGGATGTACTACCCTGTGCAGCTCTGGAGAGGACTTATAAAAATAGCCCTTTTTTCCAGTAGTATTTTGCCCATGTGTAGATGGCCTAAAAGATGCTCTTTTGTTGCTCTCTCTGTAGGGAATTAATACAAGAATGTCAATATAGTTGTATGATACCCTCCACAAAAACAATCTTTATAAAAGTTTAGGAAACTTTGTTCATAATAAATACATGGAGATGTAGGACTGAAAAAGAAATACATCAGATCTCAGAAACAAAAGTTTAGATGGCCACCAGATGGCAGCATAGCATTTGACTGTTTCCTCTGCCTTTGCTGCCATCTAATGGTAACCCAAAATTTGCAGACCAGATGTTGTAATCCCAATTAAAAGTAGGGGATTTCTGTCATCAGTTGTGAAAACCATCAAGTTAAGTGATAGGCATGCCTAAAAACATGCTACAACTTTAAGAAATTAAATTATTAAAGGCTAAGTGACTCTTAAAGAACTGGCTCTATTTTTTTTAAGTGCATATGAAAGCTTGAATAAATCGGGCTGTGTTAATTAACTACAGCATGTAGCTATGTTCATGCAAAGCCTGGCGCATGAAGCAAGATGGGGCGGGGGAAATCCTCCTAGTTGTACATGGAACCTATCAGCTACATTTGGGGCGTAGACCTGGAGCTCTTCCCGAAGACCACTAGACTGTGAGTATATAAGTCTAGCACTGTTTCTGAAGATTGCTAGAGTTGTGCTCTAGCCGACAGGCTCTCTGTGGATAGATGCTTTGTTATGGTGGCCCATCACTCAGGTATGTTGAAAAATGTCTAATGCACCTATTTAAAATAATATTATTCTGCTCCACTATACATTAACAAGAACATTTGCTGGTTTTCCCAATTGATGGTGACATTAGGGAGACAAATCCAAAGAGTATTTTTTAAAAAAAATTTAACATCAAATCTCTTAAGGACAACACCACTCATTGGCATTGTTTCTAAGGCAGATTAGAAATTGGCTCCTACTGCAGGGCAGTTTGTACTGGCATACTTTTCTGTGGGCTCAGGAGTGAAGGATGGCACATTAGCATAACCACGAGAGTGAGTCCAACGTGGCCTCTGCAGGTTAAGCTACTCTGATTGCTTACCAAGAAAGAAAGCTATTGGTCTATAGAGGATTACTGGGGGAGCGGGCATTGTGATTTTATTCTCATCAAGGATCATATGGCCCAAAGAACCAATGCACTTTTGCTCGTATAAAGTTTCTGATTGTCTCCTGAAGACTTTGTTAGTATGCTTAGTTAGTTTCTTTCCTAACCAATTATTGGACTTGTACTTTTTTTTTTTTAAAGCAGATGCAAGTAGCTATTGCCTCAATTCATCTTCGCAGATGGGATTGGTATATCTTGCATCTGAGGCTCTGATGCAGGTGGTGATAGAACCTATTTAATGGAACATGAGCCTAAGCATTAATGTCACTGAATATAACCCATCACATTGCTTCCTAATAGTAAATGTGATAAATGATGCATATCCGGCAAGTATTTTGGATTTTCCCTGCTCATTTTGAACCAGTACTGTATGAAAAGAGAAAAGTAATAATACATTTGGCTCAGATAACATGACAATCTGCAGAAAATGAGATAGCAGAAATGGTTTTCAGATAGATGCAGATGAAAGTGAGCCATTCATTATAGAGCTATTAGTACTTAGCTGTGTTTTGCTCAGTTTTCAACACATGCACACAACCCAGGCAAAGGTATAGAAAAAAAATTGAAAAATCAGGTTCTCTTTTTTCATTTCCATTGCTCTAATCTATTAGCCACATATAACATTATTGTTGTTATTATTTACATTATTTTTAACAAACACACTCACACACATAGAGAGAGAATTCAGTGTGAGATGCACATAGCAGACTTCTGTGAGGAGAGTAGCTCTGAAAATGTCTTAGATATATTTGTGGCTAGTTACATCTTTTCAATTTGTCGTGAATGATCATCTGGAAGAACCCTTTGCCTATAGAAATGGTGTAGGAAGACTTCTTTCATCAGAATAAGTAAATATTTGGGGCCCAGTTGTTCAACTACAATCCTGAATCCTTGTCTAAATTTCCTTAAACTGTTTGGAAGAACACGGATGGCCAAGATCAGCAATTTCATTTTTTAGATAATAGCAGGAATGATCCATGGATACCTTCCACATTGAAAACAATTCCTTCTCTGATAACATCAACCTCAGATTTTAGTGTTGAACAATTGCTTTGACTCTTTCAGCTGTTCATACAAAGTGCCTGCATATTTTTCAGGAATCCCCCTCCAACGCTGTTCCAACCAGGAAATTGGTCCAGAGGATTCAACCACTTCATTTCTCAGTAAGTAATACTATTTTTTTTGTGTATGTTGAAAGGCTTATTTTTAAAGGCATTGTGAACTGATTTGTGGCAAAATTTGGAAACGAACATACATGTAAGGGAACCAAAGCCATTTTTTTCCATTTTATATTACGTTTGAAAATTTTGACTATTGATAGGTACAGATCTTAGCTATCAATTTATTATTATTCATAATTACTTTATTGTAAAAAAAAGTATTTATATCTGACCTTTGATTTGGGAATTCAAGGTGAAATACAGAAGTCCTACTTTCTTTCTCCCCCCCCCCACTTATAGCAACAATCTTAATAAGTGGGGTTGAGCTGAGAGAGATTAACTAAGCCAACATCTCATTTGGGGAATTTCTATGGATGAAGGTTTGATTTTCTTGGCTTTTTATGCATCTAATTCATGATCTTAATTATTATATCACATTGCCTCTTATCTTCCCTCCAAATGGAATCACCCACATTAATTCGGCTTTGCTAAGTTACAACCAAGATTTATAGATCTCTTGAGAGGAATGGTTCAAATAATGATTGGAACTTTATCACCGAGAATACAATTTGCCAACTTCACACAAGCACCTTAAAATCTGCTTGCTGCGTGCATGTGTTTCCTTCAGATGATTCTGATGGTTCAGGTGATTCTGACTCATTCATGATCGTAGAGACATGGATGAGAGTGGCTCTCTAATTACATTTAGTGACCTTTACATTGGCAGCAGGGATTTGACTCCAGCTCATATATTTTTTCACTAGAATGTGCTGAATGAACTAGATTGTGAAGAGGCATTATCTCATTATAATTTTTCAGCGATGTGAATAAATATTAACTTCTATTGCTAAATGTCTATGGAGATTCTCAGTCATCCAGGTCATGGTTGTCCCAAAGGTGCTTTTTTCAAGAGGCAATTGGACTTTCTGTTTTTTCTTTGAAGACATTTCGCTTCTCATCCAAGAAGATTCTTCAGCTCTTCTTCAACTCTAAATATCAAGTAACAGACTGGGTTCATACAAATTATTAGTTGGCTGATTGAACAGATCATAATGCCCCGTTTACAGACAACCATATAAAATAAACCATGGATTGAAAACCATAGTGACTGAGTTCATACTCAATCTAAGTTAGAACCAAATGGCAAAGTGGAACAAAACCTATAAGCTTCACGAATCTTAAAAATGTCCACTGAACAAAAGTTCATGTTCTTAATTGTTAAAACTAGTAAATTTTTTTATTTACAATCTGAGGAAACATATACAATACAATCAAGTTGTACAGCTTAAAAATCCTTAAAGCTCTTACTGAATGCCATGTGCTATATGTAAGTGTATGTCAGTGGTGGTATTCAATTTTTTTTTACTACTGGTTCTGTGGGCATGGCTTGGTGTGCATGGCAGGGGAAGGATACTGTAAAATCTCCATTCCCTCCCAATCAGCTGGGACTCAGGAGACAGAGAATAGATGGGGCGGGGCCAGCCAGAAGAGGTATTTACCGGTTCTCCAAACTACTCAAAATTTCCACTACTGGTTCTCCAGAACTGGTCAGAACCTGCTGAATACCACCTCTGGTGTATGTGTATATGTATATGATACCTTTACAGATTAAATTTAAAAACTGCAAGTACCCTATTTGATGGTTTATATCTGATATGCATGGGATTGATTTGCTGGGGGGATCCCAAATGTTCCCCTGAAGCTCAAGCTCTCCTTTGGGATATGGGGGAGGGGGGTTGAAGAATCCTGCTGACAGTGCTGTGACGATCAATCATGGCAAAGCTATATTTCAGAATTATTCAGACTATTTTACCATTTAGGTTCTCTGAAGAAAATGTTTATGATAAAACACAACTGTTTGGGTTGTCAATCATTGTTTATAGATGGGTTGGTTTCCACTTAAAATTTCATTTCTTAAAAAGAAAAATGTAATAAAAATGAAGTCTATACAGCATTGAACTGTCCAACCATTAGTGATAATTGGCTCATTTATATGCATTAGATACGCATTTGTCAGTGTCTGACTTGTGACAGCTTTGCTTTGATAAATTAAAAGCAGTGATTGTAACAAGTCCATTTGCCTCCTACCCATATATTAGGACCTTGCCTGATTTTTCTGTCATCCTTCTGATGAGTAGTTGACTTTTCAATAATTCCATTATCTACCTTCTTCTTGAGGTTGAATATCATTTGCATAAGAAGCTTATCTTGAACCAGTTGGGGTCTAGACGTATGTAGTTACATAGTTACCATTTTTCAGAGAAATGTATTTCTGCCTCTGATTCAAATCAAATGATTTTTCTCCAGAAAGTGTCCCCAAATTATTTTAGGAACACTCATTTAGATAAGTGAGGTGATCCAAATGCCAATTTTTTCCCCTTGTACCTAAGCCCTTTAGTATACAGTGAAACTGATTGATGTACTTGAATAAATCTAAGTATAATTATAGAATATAAGTCTGATCAGCAGCTTTTTTTAAAATAGTAGCCATGTGTTCTGATTGGAGGACAACACAAGTTTCAAAAATGCTCTTCTCCCTTGTGGATGGTGAAGCTTCACTCCAGAAACCAAACAGGAAGTATCTAAAGGACAGATCTAGGCTTCCAGATTCTCTGATATTTACCTAGAATTTTGCATGACTAATGTCCTATTGAGTCCTTTCCAAGGCAGATGTTATTGTATGATGGTGTTAAAGGCATGCAAGCTATTCCAAATAATACTACCTTTTCCAATTGACTGATGATAATTTTTTCAATGCCAGTAGTGTTCAAGTGATGCTCCAGATGTTTCGAGATGGTACGCAAGGAGCCTATTATTATCTTTATTTTCTTTTGTCACCATTTTTCTGTTTCTATATGAAGGACTTTGTGTTTTGTGATCTTCTCCAGTTCTTTGTCTTTATTCTACTTTCTCCAGATATTGCTATATCCATTACCTAGCCCCCTTTTTTTGCCTTTCTTATCAACAATTGTTAAGTCTGGGGTGTTACATGACAGGTGCTTTTTTGTTTGAATTTTAAGGTCCCAGAACACTTTAGTTTCTTCATTTTCTATCACTTTTGTCAATTTTCTGGTCCCACCAATTCTTGCTTGCAGGCAAATGGTGTGTCTTGCAGATATTCCAGTGCACCATTTTTGCTACTTGGTCATGCTGTTGTTTGTAGCCAGCCAGCCAGTCAGTCTTATTCATATTGTAATAATTGTCACAATCATATTTTCATTTAATATTCTGATTTCCTGTCATCCTGGGTTATCACAATGTCTCCCTCAATCCATAAGATTTCCCTTTCAGTATCTGTATTCATTTCCCACCATCCTGAAACTTCACAGGCACATTTTTATTAAATATTATTTATTATTCTATTTATGTTTGACTTTCTCTGAAAGGTCAAGCCTGTACAGCTCCCCCATTTTATCCCTACAACTATAGACAGAATATCTAGGTTGGACTAAGAGATTGTTATTGACCCAAAGTTAAACAGTGAGCTCCATGACTGAACAGTGACATAACACAACATGAGAGCATGAGCAAAAAATGTACTCAGTTTGATGGGAGATGGCCACGGGGCTTAGATTGACAATCCAGGCCCAATAGGCATTAATGCGAGGATCACTGGATCCAGGCTTTAAAAAATCTCTTAGTCCAACCTAGATATTCTGTCTATAGTTGTAGGTATAAAATGGGGGGGCTGTTCAGGCTTGACCTTTCAGAGAAAGTCAAACATAAATAGAATAATAAATAATATTTAATAAAAATGTGCCTGTGAAGTTTCAGGATGGTGGGAAATGAATA